CCGCCCCTTCCGCTTACAGATTCTTCGAAGTCGCATACCGATTATAAAGTTCACTTGTGCCTATAGAAACTTTGCAAATGTGTCGTTTCTTCTGCAAGTCGCATCCGAATCGCAGGCGATTTTTTTTTTTTCTTTAGCGATACATTTTATTGAACTTTTGTGACACATTTTGGAGCAATGAGGTTTTTGGAGCTAGCGCGAATCGAGGTTGTTATTTATAAAATTTATTTTTAAATCAAGTCAAGTTGTAGAAATTATTGACTTATGACTTTTAATTCGAAACGACTTTGACACCTTTGCGATGCATCGTTAAAGTTTTATTTGCAATTTATTGAATGATGTTTGATAGACTTTCAAGCTTATTTATAATAATGTAAAGTCGTAAAAGTCTGCTGATTTGAAGACCAACTTCTAATACGCCGGCTTTTAGCTTTTCATCGCGGATCGGTAACACGAATCCTTTTGTGTTACGTCGACTCGGCGTATCAAATTCGTCTTGCTTATGATCTGATGAGAAGTCGTCGCTCGTTAAGCGCATTGTTTTCCCCAGAATGCTCTTTGTGGTTTCGTGATTCACGCGAGCCGCGTGTGCATATTTACCCACCTATTCCGCGAAACGAAATCCTAGCTGGGCGTTGTAGGCGCGTTTTCTTATCAGACCCGAGTTTATCATTTCGATTAAATAGAAAATCTTTTTGAGGTGCAAACTAAAACTCATTAACGCTGCTTTTTTGTTTCTTTCATGATACACATTGTCTTCATAAGTTTGAATTAAACATTTACGCTCTAAATAGCTACAAATTGCTTTAAGTAGCTGTAATTTTTATCAATTACATTTTTTTCTCGCTAAACAAATATTTATTCAAAACTAAAGAATTGATACAGTAAAAATTTTGAAACATTTGCAAATTATTTATACAGATAAATCTGAATGGAATAAAAGAGTCAATGTAAAACACTCCCCATATTTGTTCACTTAAAATTGCGTAATCGATTTTTGCACAATTATTATTTTCATGCAATTTTCTAATATCCATTAAATATTTTTATGACGTAATCGTTTGAATTAAATTCTTGAATTAAATTAATTTCAATTTTCGACGAAAATAAAATTTCATTATTTCTTGTTTCTCGACAGCTTGTGAGAATTTTTAGATCAAGCAATTTTTAGTCAACATTATTACGATATTTATAAAAGTTAAATATCTAAAAATATTTAAATCATCTCAAACAACATGACGATACATTTTTTTTCTCCGTGATAATGTCAAGGCATCATACTAGTCTTTGGATTCTAAATTTATAAAAATTCAAGACGCTTGTATCCCCAAATTTATGTTCGAATCTGATCGGGATTCCTACAAATCGCTTTTACACGCGTTCACCAAGTGGTCGTGGTTATTCATTTGTTGATTAATCTCGTAACTGTCCAATGATCACCTCGTTGTGGATAATCAGCATTACATTATTACAGCCGCGCTCTTATCTAACTGTGTTATTTGTTTTCTCAGAGATAATGACCCCTGAAATGAAAAGTCGCCGCTTGCGATATTTATTTTGCGCGTTATCTGGCATCCGCTATCAAAATTGATAGACTTTTCGATTCATCGAAATAGACTTTCGAATTAAACAGAGTTGAGCGCGGAGTTGCATCGATGCGGAAGCAGCTACTAATCGTCCTTGTCATCGTTGGACACGTTTCAACGAGTGTCCCGTATACAAGGTGTCTTGGATTTCTCGACTTTCATTTCAATCAGATAGCTTGAGAATTTGCAGCGTAATGTTTGCTTACAATATTTTTTTCACAATTTGTCGCTATTTATATTGTCATTTTTTTTTTACTTTGAAACGTGAAACATTTTGACAATTAAATCTTAAATTTATTTTTGTTCTCGGTCATCTATTTATAGTTTCATTGAAACTTGATTCGCTGAAACTCTTTAGTTTTCAATATTGAACTGCGTAACTTTTTAACTACCGATGCTTCGCTATTAAAACATTCATCAATTTTCCGCGCTTGTTCTCTGCTATCTGCAATTGAAAAAACGCTCGGCGGTATTTAGGCACTCTGTGCACGTTATTATAAATCGTTATAAATTGATTTACAAATTGATTCCATTGAATCGATAACAGCGCTGTTATAAATTGATGCGGGTTTACATTTTAACGCTCTTTGACTCGCATTTGCTAAATTCACTTTCGCGATAAATGACGCAATAATTACAAATTATGACCAATTAACGCAACGTGGACATTGGGGGGGCGTTTCTAAAATTCGCCCTCACACCTGTCAGAGTCAATTTTGAAATAAAGCGTTCAATTAATGCGGCGCCCAGTCGATCGTCGATTCAGCCCTTTCTCGCGCCCCGGCCAAGTTCCGAGCTGTCGAACTGCAGAAACGTGCCTGTCGACTCGGCGAAATTGTAAATCGCAGCAAGCCATTCAATTTCGACGATTGCTCGCGGCTTCTGCTGAAATCGCGGCCAGGCCGCGTACACATCCGCGCGCTCACACGAGCAGGCACATGCACACAGCTCCGCCCGTGGATCGCAAAACAATAATTCGCGAGTTCGGGAAGAACAATTCGTGCGATTCTCCCGACGCGCCGTCGCGTTCCGTTGGTTATCGAAGCAGTCGCTTCGCGGCGCGAGCTCGCTCGCGGTTGTGTCCTTCTCGCGGAATGCATTCGTCACACGTGTCTGCTAACGCGCGAGATATTTCAGGATACGTGATCCTGCGACGAGTTTCTTGTCGCCGCGACGATTGTGAGTGGCAGCCACTCCGTGATTCTATGAGAATTTATGAAACGTCTGACGCTATCAAGGTACTTCTAATAATAGCGCGTTAATTAATCATCGTTAAATTTTTTTTCATTTTGCAAGAATTATACGATACGGCAGATATTTGTCCGTTATCATATTGAACTTTGTTTTTAGTATTTATAATCATTCTCTGGCTTATATATACGCCTTTAACGAATAAACTTATATACGAGTTTTTCAACTGAAATAACTGAAATATTTGCACGCGTTAAGAATTTATTCTTTGCATAAAATGTTTTGTGATTAATGAATTCGCAACGTTTATTCTTTATTTAAATCTGAGACGAGAGCTTTCGTGCAAAAATAGAATTAAAAGTTTTCGAATTGGAAAATAATTAAATATAACATTTTTATACATGCCA